GTCGCCGTCGTGTTGTTCCAAGACTGCCCCAATGCCATAGCCGGAAGCGTCAGTTGTCACTCTCGTAGGCAGGGTGGGGTCATAGATGCTAAGGATGGGTGCCATGAGCATGGTCGTCTTAAGTGCTTGGAATGACCGGCGTGCGTCGTCATCGAATACGAATGGCACCTTTGGCGATTGTAATCTCGTCATAGGTGCAACAATCCTTGAGTACCCGGTGATGAATCGCTGATAGTAGCCCGCCAACCCCATGAATGAACGAACGTCCGTGGTGTTGGTGAGCTCGGGCTATACGCAGAGGGCCTCAATCTTGTCCGCAAGCGGACGGATGCCTTGCGGCGTCACATAATGTCCCAAGTACTCCAGCTCCTGCCGCACGAATTCGCATTTGTCGCGGTTGGCTTTGTACTTGGCTTGTCGTAGCCGCTCCAAAACGGTGCGCAGGTGTTCCACATGCTCGTCCAAACTCCGGCTGTACACCAGGATGTCCTCCAGGTAGATAAGTACGAATTTATCCAGCATGTGTCGGAACTCCGCTGTCATAGCCGCTTGGAAAGTGACCGGGGCATTCGTAAGGCCAAATGGCATAACCAACCATTCGAAATGCCCATATCGCGTTTTTTTTTTTTTTTTTTAAAGGTAAGCTATATTCTTCTCTCATCTATCTCATTTTCCTTGATAGTATGCATCTATCTCATCCTCTCACTATTCTATATATAGTATGGGGGAACACCAACCACCCCGGATCCCTCCCCAGCCCACAGGGTAGGTTGGCACCACAGGTGTGGTGCGAGGGCAAGGCTGTACCAGTCCCTCATCACGGTGACGAGGGGTGGGCAGGCATTGCCGATGGGGGAAATCGGCGGTGCTAGCGCCGAGCAATGGCCAGTCACTGCACCTCCCCCTACCCCCCCCCAACCCTACATGGCGGTGTCTAATGGTCAATATTGTCGCTGCATAGCAGCCAACAACATCAGCCAAGGTTCTGCCAATGCTGGCTTGGAGGGCCGACGGGTAATCTCTAGTTGGCAGAACACCAAGCTTATCGCGTTTTAAACGCGGTCAAGCTTGGAAAAGAACTTGGCGCCGCCCAGCTGTTCGAGGAGGTCGTCGATGCGTGGAAGAGGGCCGACGTTTCTAACCGTTTGCGCGTTGAGCTTGCGATAATCGATGCACAACCGCAAATCCTTGTTCTTCTTCCGGACGAAGAGAACGGGAGCACCGTATGGCGATGAGCTAGGCCGAATCCAGCCTTTCTCCAGAAGGTCGTCGAGTTGTGCCCGTAGCACACTTAAATCTTCCTCGCTCATTCGGTAGATGCAACCACGCAGAGGTACAGCCCCGTCCTCGAGGATGATCTCGTGGCGGATGGGCCGATCTGGTACTACTCCGTGCGGGCCTTCGAACACGTCACCGTAGGCATCGAGAAGCTAGGTGATGACTGGGTTTGAAGATGAGTCCGTCGATGAAGCGTCATGGGGCGGGAGGGCGTGGAGAAAACACACCCCCATCTCGTCGATGTCGTCTCTGATGATGGAAGCTCGCTAGCTTGTGGCGGACACCACGTGGCAGTTGATCGAAGGGTGAGGAGGAGGCACCGTGCATGGGACTAGTACTCCGTTCCGATCACGGACGTGAACGGTGCGGCGGTAGAAGTTCACCGGGTGATCCTCGCTTCGCAGCCATGACATGCCCAAGATCATGTCGAATTTGGTGTCCAAAATATTGAAAGGACACCACCTCGCTTGCATGCAGGGCAAAGTACACGGGGACGTCATCTATGCACCGGTCGATTGACTTGTACGTGTTACCGTCTACCAACGTGACTTGCGTAGGCTGGGGCTTCCTTCGGACACGTGGGCCAGGGCCGCCGCGTACCATAAAGTCGTGGCTCATGTAGTTGCGAGATGCTCCACAATCGATCAAAGCGTTGCAGGTCGCCTCTCCGATCTGAATGCGTACATATAACAATGGTGCGTCGATGTCATCGTACCGTTGTGTCTTGAACTCGCGGTCGATCTTCACAATGTAGGCATGAAGATCGACAACCTCTACTCCGGCGTCCATCAACGGAGTTGGTACTGCAGTGTGCAAGTAATCCCGCAGTTGTGCCATGAGTTGCAACGCGGTTTCGGCAATCGACCGGACCGGGGAAGGGGCATCCATTGGAAGTCCGCAAACGTCAACGGGTCGAGCTCTTCAAGTCTTGACCATGACGTTGAATCCCCAGCGATAGATGGCGGCGAAGCTGCCGAATCGGTTGCCGATGGTGGTGAAACCGTGCATGCGATGGATTGTTGCACGTGGAGTGGTTGGTCCAACGGTGGGACCAAGTGGACAACATAGTCCTCGTAAGTGTATCGAGAACTTGCGACATTCGCATCCTCCCCAGATGTGTAGGAGGCCGCTAGCAAGGCGGCCGAATCTGGCGGAGTGAGAGGTGGAGTCGCCTCACCTCCCGCGGAACTCAGTTTCCCGAGTTGATACGAGGCTGAACATCCTCCTTGCCTTGATCCGGACATTGGGAGGTCTTGTGCTGGCTGTCCGTTTCCGGCCGGCGATGCGGTTTTCGCCTTCCTGTTTCCTCGGGACTTGTTGTTGCTTCGCGGCTGGACAGCAACCACCTGATCTCCCTCACGTGACGCTTGGGTGGCTGCCGGGTCTTCCACAATGTTGTCCGTTTGGACTGCAGCGACATGCTGCGGCCGCGGACCAGTTCTCACCTTCTCCACATAGGTTGGCTGCCACGTTGACTTCTCGTGTGCAGCCGCCCTGTTTGTCTTGATGACCTCCCTCGCCTTGTTGCTGATTTCGGCGAAGGTGTTGTACTGCTCGCGATCACCGAGTGCGAGGCTCAAAGCGGCGCATGACCGGTTGTAGAACTCCCGGCGCAGATGCGGGAATGGCAAGTCCAGATCGGGTGTCGCCACGATCTTCTGCCAATCCGTGAGCCAATCAGGTGTCGCTGTGTTTCCTTGAGCCATCGTGAAGATGAGGTTGATGACGAGCGTCGGGGCGTCGTCCACAATGAACCGCTTCTTCCATTCTTTTGTCAGATCCTCCCAGGAGACCTTCTTGTATACGTCGAAGACCTGGATGCCGTGGAACCGTTGCCATATGGCTGAGCCAGATCTGGCATCCTCCCTTGGCGTTAAGGAACAGTGCGCCAATGAACAGATGTTCGGGGACCTCATGAATCCCCAACTCCATTGTGAATCCTTGCCACCAGAGGACTGGGTCTTGATGAGTGTAATCATCAAACTTCTCGATCCGGAACGTCGGCATCTTGTAATGCTTCGCCGTGCTGGTGCTGCAATCGGGGTCAGACGGCTGTTGTCCCTGCCTGATCTCGGTCTTCAGTGTGTCCAGCTGCTGGCTGATGGTGGCTGGCGCTGCGAAGGTGCTAATATCACCTAGCATTGCCACTACGTGATCGACCCGTTCCTCCAGTTGGCGGGCAGAGGGTGCACTGCTGGACTCGCCAGCCTCCGGTCTTGGTGCAGTTTGCTCCAAGTCCTGTACACGGGAATCAAGTCCCCGTGCTGCATCCTCGTGCTGAGCCTTGTGGTTCCGCACGGCCCGCTGGAGATTCGCCAGCTCGGACTGCAGGTGGTTACAGGTGTAAACCAACCGGGTCACGAGCTTGGCCACAAATTCCTTATGTTGCTCCTCCAGTGTCGCGTCGTCGTGCTCCTCGGAAGGTTCAAAGTGCCAAAACTTGAGTTTTTCTATGCTGGTGGCTTCATGCCGTTGTAGCAGATCTTGGGCCTCCTTGCGGCGTGCCTGGGTATCTGCTTCAGCTTCGGCTTGAAGTCACTGTTTCTTAGCTGTTGCCGCCGCTTCAGCCTGTAGGCGGACAGCCTCGGCTGCCATCTGGCGCTGTTCCTCAACCTCGATTAGTGCGCGCTGAGTCTGGAACCGTTGTTTGTACTCGGCAATGGACTCGTTGGCCAGTTGGCCTGGCATGCCCAGAGCTGAGCCCGTCATGGTGGCGGGGCACTGCTGACGTGGCATTGTGGCTGATGTGGCACTGTGGCTGATGTGGCACTGCTGACGTGGCACTGTTGACGTGGCACTGTTGCTGACGTGGCACTGCTGATGTGGCACTACTGACGTGGCACTGTACCAACCCAGAAATGCATGCAAAGGGGTGGGTGGGAGGGAAAACGCAAGTAGGTAACCAACCCAACAATACTTTCCTCCCGGCCCTAATCAACAGATTAAAAAAAGAAAAAAAAAGAAAAAAAGAGGACTACTTCCTTTTTTTTTATTTTTATCTGTCGATCTGTTATGAGTGAGGCATGTCAGAAGAGTATTATGAGCGAGATCTAGGCTAGGTTCCGCAAAGTTTCGGCTTCCACAAAATTGCGATCTTGAAAAAAAATAAAAAAATTGCGAAGTAGAGTAGAGATGTGATTTTCATAAAAGAACTAAATCCAGTTTCTGAGACTATGGCAACCTCCTAATTTGCCTAACAAAATGCTGGTAGGCTTCGCAAGGTTTCAATTTTCAAAAGAAATTTGCGAGATAGAATGGAGATTCAATTTTCAGAAAAGAATAAATCCTGTTTCCGAGAATATGACCACTTCTATCGTTATCCTAATATGCCTAGAAAACGAAATGTTAACATCAGAATTTTTCAGCTATGTATGCAAATATCAGAGAAAGGAAATGCTACTATCAGGAATTTTCAGATAAAACGAAATGCGATTATCAAAAATTTTCAGATATTTGTTGCGTGAAAACGAAATACTAATATCAGAAATTTCAGGTAAAACGAAATGCGATTATCAAAAATTTTCAGATATTTGTTGCAAGAATTTTTTTGTTCCAGAGATTTGACGAAGTCCTACTTGATTTACTAATGAGTGATCAATAGATCAAGCAAGCTGGCTACTTGATTGAGCGGTGTCGCGCGCGGCGGTCCCGCACCCCACTGAGAGTGTTGAACCTCACGGTCGTGTCACGCAAGATATATTCTTGATAAAGAACCAGTCACCACTTCGACCGTGCGCGCGTGCTATACCTCTCACGACGCCCTACGACAGGTCGGGGAGCCGCGAGGTACAACTTACCTCTACCCGAGGGGTTGTCACCACCCTCAGATAGGCGTATCCCTGTTGAGCTACCGGCCCACGTGCAAAGGCTTTTACTTGCCTTTGTAGAGGTAGGTCGGCCGAGGGCATTTGCTCGATCGTTGTAGCATAAAACGGGGTACGCGCGGTAAGACGCCTAGAACTGACCAGTCAGATATTTCAGGTCGAACTTTTAAAAGGCAATCTGTTTCCGCTACTGCGTAATGTATTATTCCCTTGACTAATATCAATCAAACCATCATCCTACCAAAGAGCGTCCTATCTTTCTTACCAGGTTATGACTTATCTGAACATCAGAATAGTATAGAAGTTAAGTTGGACATATGAAGAATATGAAAGTATTACCGCCGAGAACCCTTCCCACTTTCACAAGTGCTGTGTGTCTGAGACTCTTCAACAGACCAGGTCCAATTCAATCCAAAAATCACGCACAAAACAGACCAACACAGAATAATGCAAAGACAGTTCACATGCCATGCACTAACGGCGTCAACCATCAACCATTGACCTTGTCCCTCACTTCCCAAACCATGTAAGACAGCCTTATCTTTCCTGAGACGTAAGCCCAGCCCCCTCACATTTCTTCAAAGGACCCTTGAGAGTGACCAGGACCATTTAGGTGATGACACAGGTGACAGTTTTACTGACCACAGGGTTTGACTTTAGATGTGGGTATCAAGTCAAAGGGGGAAAGTTGAATCAGTAACAACAACCTGTTATCGAGTGATAACAGAAAATTGAGTCCTTTATGTAGGACTTCTCCTTCAATTGTAGTAGATCAAAGCAAAGACCTGCACACACACAGGTCAACAAAGATTCATCATTCCCACTCGACTTCCCACATATTGATATCAAAGGGTCAAACCCTTAGATCTGGTTTGTGAACTATGGGATCAACATCCCAAAGTCTAACCCCTAGCTTCTATTTAACCTGAGTTGTTTGTCACTCATTCTCATTTTATTTCAAGGAGTTTCTTTGCCTGTCTCAGGTTGTCACAGGGAAACTCATATTTCCCCTTCCTACAGTCCTTGCAGTTTCTCTCTCTTGCGGATAAGCGCACTCTTTGGTGCTTTATGCGGTAGTCTAACAGAGTTTTACTCATGTCGTTCAGTGGTTTCCCCCTTAGGAGTCTATCAATGAACCGAGGCTACGCGAAACTCTTTCTTGTATCATCCTTTTCCCTACGGTATCCACTTTCTTTTACGTTTCTTTCTGAAGGACCTTTGGGGTCGCTCCCGATGGAGCACTCCCTTTTTTTCCTTTTCTCTTCTTCTTGTCTTGACATGCGCAAGTAGTAGCCTGATTCCCCCGGGAATCTTCCACTACTTGATCAATTCCAAACATTCCGTTAGTCAGAAGAGTAGTCGAGTCGCCCCACGGGAGCACCGGGTCAACGGTTGTTGTTAATGATAGTAGGATTGTACTTCGCGGAAGTATCGATCAAATGACTTTTGTGAAGTTTGAAAGAGTGTACTTCACGGAAGTACCGGATCAAATCGGTTTTCGTTAAACTGAAGGAATGTACTTCACGGAAGTACCAGATCACATGATTGTTGTTAAGTTTGAAGAAGTATACTTCACGGAAGTACCGGGTCAAATGACTCTTGTTAAACTGAAAGATGTACTTCACGGAAGTACCGGATCAAATCGGCTCTTTGTTAGACTAAAGAAGTGTACTTCACGGAAGTACCGGATCAAA